AGGATAATATTCTAATAAAAATGCAAAAAAGAAGCAGACGAGCCCTAAATACTGTCGATTTCTGACGCACTCAATGTCTGTCGCCCTATAGATCTAGCAGAATATGACAAGCAAAAATTTTGCTGAGGACTATAAATTGTACATTTTAATATATCCACAACCGAACCCATCACAAATCGGAGAGCAGTCCAAAACACGGAAACTTGTGTGAAATACCTGAGTCATGGTTCCGATAATTTAAAAGGGGACAATGACAGTCTAACTAAACTGAAGGGGGTTCGAATGAGAAACGGTGGGTGGTATGAAGTTGTTGGAATAATGTCTTGTAAATATATAATGTCACAGCTTTTAATAGGCCAATCGTACAAGATAAAAACAACAATCCCGGCTCATCAATGTCCTCTGGAGACGATCACATGGCCATTAGTCTCTGTTTTTGCTTGATTACACAGTAAAGATTTTGTTGTGTCTTTTTATCGAAATTATTTCCTATTTCCTTAATATCTATGTACGATTGTGCATGATAATACATAAGAACCCTTTTCACAGTTTATCTCAATTTTTTACGACTTTCTTTCCAACATTGTGAAAAACGTCATTTTTAACGGTTTAAAAAAAAAATTCTTCTTGAAAAGTAATTTACAAAATAAACAGTTATTGAAACTGATAAAAGGTTTTTCTTTTGAAAATCGATCATTACACAAAATAAACAGTGAATTATTTCATAATATTTTATGCTTTTTAATCCAAAAACTTTCATTCGCATCAATTTATTTCAAAGTACTTTTCTTGATTATCCATAACTTTCCTTTTCTCCTCAATTTCGCTCATTCATAATTTTTGTAACAACACAAGTTCATTGTATGTTCATTCAGAAAAAAAAAATTGGAATTACACAATAACTGAATACAAGTAAAATCGTAAAACAAGATATGAAAATGAGGTCTGATTTTTCATAAGTACACGGAAACGAAGAAGAAACTGTAACTGAACTTAGAATTTTGTCTCCATTAGATGTTCTCGGACTTGTACCGCTTGACGTGCAGATCACCTAACAGGGGAAATAACTACGTAACCCACTTTCACTTTTAGCCAATATCAAATTGGTATATAAAATAAAATGTTTGATAATAAAATCAAATAGTATCAATAATCACAGCCCAACTGAATGATAAATAGCGAATTGAGAAAAGTACCATGGAAATAATCTAATATAAAATATTACCCACTTCCAACAATAAAATCTAAGCGGAGTCGGAGACATCTTCCGGGTTTTCAGCTACATGGGTTCTGACAACTTATATATCAGGAATGTAAAAATCTCACGTCAAAGATATGTAAAATATTGAGAAAACTTGATGTGTTCATCAGTAGCGACTGACATATTTTCTGTTTACAAACTGACACCAGAGGCAGACCATTTGTCATCCAAACACTTGCCCGATAAACAGTGTATTACATATTTAATGCTGACCAATAAAGCTTATTTCAAGATACTTGATATCTCAATAATTTTAACTGAGTACTATTATAATAATAAAAATATAAAGTATTGAAAATTAAATAATTAAAAAGGTAATGATAATTAATAGTGTTAGATTTCAACTGCAAGCATAATCTTTCATGCAAATTTCTTATTATTACTTATTTTAAATTTCTTAAATTTCCTATTTTAATTACAGTTCTACATAAATATAACATCTTTTTAATACATGAAAATATTTTACTAATTTTACTTGCATGTATGAAATGAAACTGCTTCAATTTTTAGTTTTTATTTGATAATTCATTGAAACGAAGCTTTTGAAAATTCCCTGAAAAATATATATTTTTTCCAATCTAAAAGTTAAATCCAAAATATACTATTGTTGTTCAGCTAGTCCAACGCATTAATACCATATCATAAATCAACAACACCTTTGTGACATATTTATGTTTCTGTATTCAGTGATGATTTTATTTTAACAAAGTGATCCTATTATCATTGAATCATTGAGATTACCAGTATTGAGCAGAGCTGCAGGTCAATTATGGCTGATGACAGCTCTGATTAAGACGAAGATCTGTTAAGAACACTGCAGGCAAAAGGATGTTGATTTACACATCTTTATCAGATTCAACTTATTGTTAGGAAATATTAGAATTAATCACACATTCATACCTATTTGTTGTTATTATTCAATTTCCTGATTATATTAAGGTATTATTATTTTGATTTAATTTGTTATTAATGCTCAAAACTCTGTATTCTCAATATACAAGACATCGGTTTACTTTACTTTCAAATTTTCAATCAAATATTTCGGATAAATTCATATTGTCTTCGTGAGTACATCGAACATATTAATCGGCGTTTTCTTCTGCGAAACTGACTAACTAAATGAAATATGATTGAGGAGAAATTGAAATACGATAGGCAAAGATTTAAACGTGTAGCGTGTCCCCCCATTAGCGCGGCAAAAAATTGACAAGCCGTCAAGCAAGGAGACGCAATCAAAACACAAATGCATCCGAAAGCCAGAAACTCAAACTGCTTAACATCCGGACTTTTACATCCTGTGCAGTGACGTGCGCACCCGACGTGTGGATGCTGCTCACTTCCTGTCAAGTCACTAATTAATGGAGAGTTTACTGAATGAGAGCACTTATGTGAAATGCATAAAAGTCGGTTTAAGTATACATGTGCATTTTTTTTTATTTACACAGGTTACTAAAACTTGATAAAATTATTGAGTCATTTTGCACTGTGCAAAATAGATTATTTAATGAAAATAAATAAATAAAACAAACAAATCACACAAACATAGTTAAAAAAAAAAATAAAGGAACCAAAATTAATAACTCACATAACAGGTTTCATGTCTAAATATTTATCTAGCTTGTTCCATTTTTAAACTTAATTTCCATTTCGGATAGTTATTACCTATCAATTTGTAAATTATCATTTAAGAAGAGTTATTTCTTGCCAGATAACCTTCAAAACCCCTTAGGTGTGATCGGACACTTCAGATAATCAGAGAGATCCGATTACCCGTGTAATAGCAACCATCAGCTATTGATACCCTGTCATTCAAAATTCCGGATTATAGGTCTGTCTTTTCGGTATCGATTCCGGCAATTAGTTCTATGCGGATCATTTTAGGACAGGCAGTTATTTAGCCATTTGGACATGAAGCATTTTTATCAATTTAGAATTGTAAATCTTCTGGACCAATGACAAATACTAAATGTTTTCCCCAAAATCTTTTAACCCTTACTCCATATATCTAAAATAATTATATTTTACGGTCGATGAAAAATTTATGTATAAGGGGTGGAAAAATGAAAATCCCGTGTTCTCTCATCTATAATGTAGTATTTTATAATTTATTATGAATATTTTTTTTTTTTTTGGGGGGGGGGGGGTCGATAAATGACCAAAGTGACTGATTTCATTATATAAAATGACTTAAGAAATATATGTGCTTTATTTTTATTTTTATTTTTTTAATTTCACATATTGTAAAATTTCAATATGTTTGTTAGCTTTATAAAACATTCTTTCTTTTTTTAAATTGAGAAATAATATCATCAAAGACTATTGTAGTTCAAGATACCTGATCACCTTGTATGCTACGTAAACTGCCAAACCGAATTATTGAGAATTTTTGTAGGGAGCTTTATTTTTTTTTAAATATGAATTCGATCAGTGTTTCCCGTGAGACTTAAAGAATATAAAATATCCCTCCACAAGGACAGGAGTACAGCATCGCCAACTGATTAGAATAATTCATTCTGTTTTATTTGTAATTACAAGGACTTTTCGTAAACTAGATAATCCAATTACAAGTGTCATATTTACCCAACAAATTACATAACACTATCGCCTGGATCGGGGATGTAATGATTAATTAAGAGAGCGACGGAATCGGATAGCAGTGAAACACAGGACCCGGGTATTGGAAACATGCCGGTGTAACTGTGTACTCTACCGATTAACAAGGTTCTTAACAACTAAAACATAATGGAAAAGCAAATTTTAAAACAAATGATTCTTGTAAATTGACAATCCAAAGAGATAGCAATATACGGGTACATAATTAGCCAGGACGTTTACAAAACGAACGCATAAAAACTAAGTAAATATCTGTCTGTGCAGAAATAGACATTGACGGGGGACGAATGGTCGTGCGTGCACGTCTGCCAAAGCTTGGAGACCAGTACCCTGTCCCTACCAGGTTTGCACAACTGCTCTCGTACCGTATTAACGTCTAGATTCTGAAGAGGACAAACACTCGGAATAGTCTGCGTCAAGTTAAAACAACGGTCAGATTTCACCAGGTATTAAATCTATAAGCTTCCAGCCCTTAATTCTGTGTTTGAATTTGAATATAATTCCTAAAAAGTAAATATATCACAACCAAGAGCTGTTTGATTTGGATATTATGGGGAATTCTTAGACTTGACTTAACATAGGATTTCCGTGTTTATTTTCCAATTTTTTTTTTCTGTAACAATAATCATTAGTGTTAAACGATTGTTTTGTTTTTTATCTTATAAAAACTCATCATATTTTGTGAATGCTAATACTTTGTCGACAATATTACTAGTATGATTCACAGGCGTTGAGTTAAAACATCGCCCAGGGGGTCACTATAGAGCTGGTGTCCTGGGGTCAAAAACTCTGTCTGTATTCTCGTTTTAGTCATTATCCTACCGAATTTTTCTCCTCATAATCACTAATCTATCCAAAGAATTTCAAATTAGTTGAAATAAAATTACTCTTGGTTATAAAAAAAAATATTTAAACACGGTAGGGAAATTATACCAAAACATCTATTTAAGATTAGAGAGATTTCAGAAAATGATTATTTTATTAAATTTACTGGTTTCATTCCACTTTTCCACATGAAAAAGGACATGAAACTTTCCTCAAGAAACACCCGATCGAACTATATCCTTCATAAATTCATATAGAAATTAAATAATAGCCAGTTAGCTGCTGAGAGACTTGAACCTACCTGGTTTAGGCGCATTTCTCTTGATCTGCATCCATCGGAATGGTTTACTTTGTAAACTTTGGCCAGTGTTGGGCTCTGACTTAACTGGGGAGGGCACCTGCTGATTTATAGTCGCCCCATACACATTAGATAGGGAACATGAAGTCAAATTATCAATACACGTTGTCCCAAAATTTGAGCGACCAGTATTTATATTTTGTCCGGGTCCTAGATCTCCGGCTAATGCCGCGTGGGGAGGAATATAGTGGTCCACTACATGGGCCTGTGTGTCCCCTAGCTCGTACCCCTGGTGTCTTGTGGTCCGCGGTACGACTGGGGTGTTCACTGGGTATGTTAATCCCTGGTTTCCGAGAGAGAGGTCGACCCCGGACAATCCAGGGGGAAGCATATTCTCTGACCCGTAATAATTCTGTTGTCCAGTGTCAATCGCACGTGAGTTGATATTGTTGTTATATCCGTAAATTGTGTTAGGGATATCTGAGGTGGTGTACCCATTTACATAGGGATGTGCATCCAAGTTACAGATCGTGTAGTCGGCGTCTGTATTCATTATTTCTCTATAGTCTTGTCAATGAAACACTTAAATCAGCTGTCGATAGCGAGATAAATCTAAAATAAATGGAGCTAAATTACGACTTGAATATGACAGGATTAGAAAGACAGTGGCACCCACGTGACAATTTCCATCCAATCAAAATCAAATCATCTCTCGCAAAGAAAAAAAAGGTCCTTTGATAGATGGCCCGTGGATAAAACGGAGTTACTGATGCGTGGATCGAACCAACATACATTATAGAGACATGATCGGTGTAAACATATAGTGTGAGGAAATCCAAGTGTTGCGTCACATGCAAATTAGAACAAAGCCTCTTCCAATCGTTCAAAGTATACGTTCTATCACGTTTCCATAGCAATTTGTCTTTAAAGCTGTCAAAAAACGATCAAAAGTTTAAAGGAATCAAAGGTATTCAGAAGATCACTGATGTATTCCACCTCCATTCATGCATGATCGAATACACAATGTTTACCTTAGCAGAAACGGAAAAAATACATGCGCACATTCATTGCAGTAAACGAAGAAATAACAAAACAGAAAACATTCGAGATATATATATATATATATATATATATATATATATATATATATATATATATATATATATATATATATATATATATATATATATATATATATATTTTACTTTTTAAACGTTGCTATAATGTGTGAATTACTATAATAATGACAGTTGCAACTGGCATTATTCTCTTCCTGGACAATAAAATATTTATTAAATGCCGTAGGAAACAATGAAAGAATTTATACAATAAGCTCTAAAAAGAAATTTAACAAGGCAATACAAAACAAAATCGAATATATTGTTAAAAAGTATGCTTCAAATTTCAGAATGAAGTCATCACTATACCTTACAATTACGTGTACTCTAGTTCTCATATCTGTTTACAAGTTTATAATCCCTTTTTCAGTTATTTTATTGAAGGATTTTAATTTTTATTATTCTATTAATTTCTTTTTAATATTTTTAAAATTCAATGCTACTATATCATAATTTGGGAATCAACAATATGGCATGTAAAACCAAATTCATCGATTGATCTTAATTCTACGACCGTTCATTTTGTTTATGAATTGAGAAAAATTACATCAGATGAATTAAAGATTCACCCCTTAGCATAATTATCTCTATCATTCATCTTCACCCATTCTGTTGTGCAAAATAGTTACACAGTGGATGTAAGCTTCAAACGAAGACAAAATAAATTCCAGTTTGTTAAGACCTTCCTGCAGCCGGCAAAGCTTTGGAGGTAGCGAGATCTCCGGGATTCCTAAAGGAACGCAATGTGATGTGAGAGAATAATTGGAAACACAAACTCAGCCAGGTCGTGTACACTTTTCTCATCATTTTCTCACAAAATGACAGGGAGGCAGATTCAACTGATTATCCCCCGCTCTCTGGGAGGGAATCACTGATTTGGTTTTTATCCTATTGTCTGTGAGTATTGGGGTGCTTTTTTGTATTTGGGTCGGTGAAGTTAAAATGCATCAGACAAATCTGCGTGTAGCAGTCGCAATATGTTTTCTTTATTACATTGGTCACTCTAATAAGAGAAAAAAATATATTTAATTTCAGAATTAAATATAATTTGATTTATTTATGATCACTTATTGACAATGAGATGTGAAATCGATTCAGTCGCAAAAGCTCTTAAGAATGCAATTCAAAACATAGCCATTCATCGATTTTACCACAAATGCTGTAAATTTGTTCTTATGGAAATTATTATACTAGCAAAATAAAGACATATTTTATATCTAAATAATGTAATATAGTCTTTGCTGGGCAATTGTTCGTAGCTTCCGTGAAATAAATATGCATAGATATGGGATATTATAAATAAATCTAACAGAAATTATGAAAATCCAAAAAAGGGACTTCAAACCTGTGAAATCTTTATAATAGTCATAATTATGTCAGTAAATTTAGATTTATTATGGAAACTGTTTCATTATAGATGACATTTATGGCTTTTGATTTTATCTTCCCAGAAGTCAACATTGAGAGCAAGATTACGGAAGCTTAGATAGAATTTAACCACGATAGGCTTTCTATACCCTGAGAGAACCAGGGGTAAATGATATCAATTTGTAGTTCAACACTTCTGTACATGATTTTATGGAATGATTATTATTGCTAACCCTGTTGTTAAAATAACCCAAGGTCCTAACTTGTTTGTTTTGACATGTAATAAAAGGATAAAAAACAATATTGGTTTTTATATGTAGTGTTTTAGATTATAACTGTCTAAATATTGGAAATTAATACCTCTGATCAAAGGAGTAAAGGTAAATTGTTTACTTTGCTGAGCTAAGATGAAAAAGATTTTATTTACTTTTTATTTACCTTTTATCTTCTTTTGATTTTCTTTCCTTTTTATATTATTTGATTGCCCGCTGTGTTTTAAATATATAAAACAAAACGACAAAATAATTAGATGCAATTATCAAAACACAAGGATTTTTTTTTTTATTTTTATCAGTCTGATTTTCAATACATTTTTTTTATCTTTTTATAAACAAGTGTTAAATACTGATTAATATCTTGGCAACTGTTTAGAAAAGCACAGGGGGTTTATCAAATGGAGAAAAAAAAATGTTGTATTACATCTTACGACGCTTATGAAAAAACCATCCTTAAAAGGGTTTAAAAGTACATTTTAAACAAAACACCGAAAATGTTTTGAGAGGAATCAATTACCTCCAAGTGTTCAAATTTCTATCCAAATTCAAGCAGGAAATCTAGAACGAGCACAGCTGGTGGGACTGGTCATGTTAAATATTAACAAATATCAGATTACCGGGACAAGAGACCAGAAGTTAGATTTCAAGGCAGTCACATTTTAAATTATTTTTAATTCGTATTCATGGATTTATCAACAAAATATTTTTTTTTATAATCTTCAGTGAATATTATAGAGTCATTGTATAAATGTTTCAATTTCATTTACATTCTTTTCTTTTAATAATTAATTTACAAATACCGACAATAACAGATAGATATACATGTACAAGGTCAAACTGATAGGCGAGAGGTCAACATTTTACTGTGATTTGATAATTATGGTATGCAATCCTATAATAAGATCTAACTCTTTTCCTCTTAGTCAGTATTAGTTGCTTGATTATTAGTAAGCCTTTGATGTTCATGGTAAATATATGCGAATTTAGATATTTACATGTGTGTTATCTAATATAAACCTAAATAACCTTCTAACCTTAACTAGTATACGTGTGTCTACAGCTAGGTTAGCGAATAAGGCAATATGCAGAGAGCCAGCTGTCGGACACATTGTCTGAGTCGGATCTGTATTGTGGATTTTTTTTAATAATCTTTCGAACGGTAGAATTGAATTTTTGACAAACTAGATATTTTACTGTTGTATGACCTATAAAATGGTGCTGGAAAATTGTATCACATAGTTTATTATAATAAATGGATTAATTATATCATTAAACCGATTTTATTTACTAGAAGATCCTTACTTAGATCCCATTTAAAAATAGAATTATCTAAATATATTAACATGCTGAAAAATATCAAGTCATGATTTTAATTTTTTATTAATTCAGAATACAATGTGAATAGGAAGTTTTCTTTCATTTATCGTCTGCACAAAGAAATCTACAGTAATTAAGGTTATCAGACTATTTTTGTTTTATTTCAATTAGAAATACCAGAACGTCTATAAAACATTCCACTTGATTTAATCGAATTCTATATGAATTTTCTATTAAGGTTATTAAATAAAATTATATACCATATAACAAATATTTAATATAGTCAAAATATCTTACTTCTGTCGTAGGCCCCATTTTCAGAATATGTATATTGTATTTTGAATTAATAAAATAAATTGAATAATGACTAGATATTTTTCAGCATATTAATTTTTCTCTTAAGGCTATAATTAATAAAAATAATAATAATTTTATATATATATATATATATATATATATATATATATATATATATATATATATATATATATATATATATATATATATATATATATATATATATATATATCGACTGTATCGCAGTATTTATGAAAAACCTTAAATATTGATAACACGTTTCTTGCACAAATACGTGCGTACAGTGTGTCCATGCGATGGTTATCTGTCTGAATGAAAAGAAATCTGACTGTCCAGGATCATGAAACAGTCTTAGACTTAGTCAAAATGAAATGAACATTTTTTACAAACCAATTCTTAAAATTCAAATTAACAACATGAAAGTAAAACATTTTAGATTTTATTTATTTTCTATGATTAAACTCTTAGATAGTGCAAAAAAAAAACTAAATGAATGTCTCAAATGGCACTCTAAAATGAATATCGATATTCTGACTTTATATATAAGTTTACTTTGTTCATGCAGCTAATCGCGTGACGTTTATTCGTTATTTTCCATTTGATCAAAATGCTATAAATAATTTATATAGAAATATGACATCACGAAGTACACATTTTCCCGCCATTTTAGCAAAATTTGTATAAAATTATTTATTTCAAGCATTTTTCTTTCAGAAAATAATGAATGCAGACTTGAACAATTTTCACCTAAGATGTATCTATCCAGGACTAATTACTGACAGAAAAAAATTGTTTGTTCAAAGCTGCACTCTGTGTTTTCTAAAGGAAAATATTAAGAAAAAGGCACATTTTTGTTCCATTTTAATTGGATTGTAAAAATAGCAACATTTCTGACGTCATTACAGCCTGCATATAAATGAGACAAATGTATTGAAAATATCTCCGATATAAACTATTTTACATAAAAAAAATTAACACACCTGAATCACATTTAAAAAATGTTTATTTGTGGGGGCCAAAATTGACTCTTGTCATACGTGCATGTACATCATGTAGTCCTTCTGACTTAAGTTTAAATCTGCGTTATGATCCTGAGACCTAGTCTTGTACCATTTCTCCACGGTAATGCAGGGGTATTTATCACATTCTTTATCATTCCTGTAAAATACCTGGTAAATAGTAATATTACAGTCGATGGAAAGAAGAACCCACTGCCCTGAATAGTTACGGGTAAATCTGGAAAGAGAAGACAATCACATTCAAGTGACATAAAATATTCACGATAATCAAAATTTGATAATCTAAAAACAGACCATTTCCCCTTCTGTGCGACTGAAAATATTTAAAAATACATGTAAATCCTGTCTCACAAGTGAAATAAAATCCGTATCTAGCGACAAAACACTGAATTTTCTGTATATTATATTTTCATTCATTTTCCCTTTGCCTTTGTCTTTTCTTACACAGTGTCATAGGCTGTGACGTCATAGTTGAGCGGTTGAGGCGTCATATGCATAGCTTAGCAATTGCGAGATTGAAAGCATTGGAACATGGATTTTAGCAACATATTTAGGAGGAAATTGGCAGTTTTAGTCTTAATCAAAATGGTTTAGTTACTATCGCTATCTTATGACAGGTCAGAAATTATTTTTGACTTACTTTGATATCCTTTCACGCTGTGACAGAATATCACTTTGGTATCCTTTCACACTGTGACAGAATATTACTTTTATTCTATAAATAAATCATTATTTCACTGTTGAAAAATGTAATGAAATACTCATATTCTTTAACTATATATATATATATATATATATATATATATATTTTTTTTTTTTTTTTTTTTTTTTTTTTTTTTTTTTGGTCAGATTAATGTTCATGTTCTCAGTCTGAGTTTATCACCTTTACATAAGCTTTGCGTTTCACTAATACATGATGCAACCTGTTCTTAAGAACGTATTAAACAATTAAGGATTGTAATTAGTTACTATAGGAGCTTCAGAGATTTCAAACCAAATTCTGATATATAGATGGCATATAATAGTAAATCTTTGATGACATATTAACGACCCTGCATCTTTTAAAATGTTACCAGAAAAAAAAGATAGGTAACCATTCCTGATCAATATAGAACTTTCTTTCAAAGATTGCAATATAAATCACTGAAATCTACATCACTGATTTTTTGTGTTCTTTGATTTTTCGATGAATCATTGATTAGATATGCTAATTAGAACAGTCTTCAAAGCGAATTGTTTCCAGTGAGACAGTGACTCCCATCAAACCAGAAAGGCGAAATATTTGTGGCCTTCTATAGCACCAGCAGACTGTGTATCGGCATAAACAACACTGCGGTCACTGGACCCATTACACGGTCGATAATCTAACGTCTTTCCGTCCGTTGGCGGGGCCCTATTAGATTTCCTTTTTCAGGTTTACTAAACACTAGAACGACCTCAAAAGTGTGATTATTTATCATGGGAGGAATCTTAACTAATTCAACCGTTTGTTTGTTTGTTTTTCATATCTGTGTACTTTTTGCACCAAAAATAAAAAAAAAAAATAAAATGAAAAAAAAAATGGTTTAAAAGTTTTCTGCGTTTTAGTATGCTACTGTTT